AATGATGAATTGTGTGTGACCAATGTGTCGTATGGGACCCATATCGAACACTACGTGGTGTGATGATTGTGTTTGAACAATTCGTTGTATGGGATCCATATCGAACACTACATGGTGTGATGATGAATTGTGTGTGACCAATATGTCGTATGGGACCCATATCAAACACTACATGGTGTGATGATTAATTGTGTTTGAACAATGTGTTGTATGGAATCCATATCGAACACTACATGGTGTGATGATGAATTGTGTGTGACCAATGTGTCGTATGGGGACCATATTGAACACTACACCATGTGATGAATTGTGTAAATGTGTTGTATGAAACCCATATCGAACACTACACCATGTGATGATGAATTGTGTGTGACCAATGTGTCGTATGGGGTTCATATTGAACACTACATGGTGTTATGATGAATTGTGTGACCAATGTGTTGTATGGGGTCCATATTGAACACTACATGGTGTAATTATGAATTGTGTAAATAATGTGTCGTATGGGACTATATTGAACACTACATAGTGAAATGATGAATTGTATGTGAACAATGTGTTGTACAGGGCCATATTGAACACTACATGGTGTAATGATGAATTGTGTGTGAACAATGTGTCGTTTGGGGACATATTGAACACTACATAGTGAATGATGAATTGTGTGTGAACAATGTGTCGTACAGGGCCATATTGAACACTACTTGGTGTAATGATGAATTGTGTGTGAAAAATGTGTCATATGGGCCTTATTGAACACTGTATGGTTTTATGATGAATTGTATGTGAACAATGTGTCATATGGGGTCCATATCGAACACTACATGGTGTATTGATGAATTGTGTGTGAACAATGAGTCGTATGGGACCATATTGAACACTACATGGTGTAATGATGAATTGTGTGTGAACAATGTGTCGTTTGGGGACATATTGAACACTACATAGTGAATGATGAATTGTGTGTGAACAATGTGTCGTACAGGGCCATATTGAACACTACTTGGTGTAATGATGAATTGTGTGTGAAAAATGTGTCATATGGGCCTTATTGAACACTGTATGGTTTTATGATGAATTGTATGTGAACAATGTGTCATATGGGGTCCATATCGAACACTACATGGTGTATTGATGAATTGTGTGTGAACAATGAGTCGTATGGGACCATATTGAACACTACATGGTGTAATGATGAATTGTGTGTGAACAATGTGTCATATGGGCCTTATTGAACACTGTATGGTTTTATGATGAATTGTATGTGAACAATGTGTCATATGGGGTCCATATCGAACACTACATGGTGTATTGATAAATTGTGTGTGAACAATGAGTCGTATGGGACCATATTGAACACTACATAGTGAATGATGAATTGTCTGTGAACAATGTGTCGTACAGGGCCATATTGAACACTACATGGTGTATTGATGAATTGTGTGTGAACAATGTGTCGTATGGGACCATATTGAACACTACATGATGTAATGATGAATTGTGTGTGAACAATGTGTCGTATGGGGGGCATATTGAACACTACATGGTGTAATGAAAAACGTCAAGCTGACCATGGTGGTTGTATGTATTCCTCGTCGAGTCAGGGGTCTACAAATATTACTCTCAGCGCGACAAATGTATACATTTTGCAAACTGAAACGAGTGGTTTCTATTGGCTGATTGAATAACATTGTAACATTTTTAAATGATATTGTTGTGCCAATGAAATTTATACTCGTTTATAAAGATGAAGGGAATGCCTTTGTTACGCTGAAAGTGCGGGGAGCAACACAAATCATATTTTAGAAAACTTACATATATATTTGTATACTAATATTAAGAAAACACATGTTAACAAGAAGACAGACGAAAATATAACTGACCAATTTTACTAACGGATGTGACGTATTCTCTGCACATATGTTCAATTAATCAATTGTATCAACTATAAATAAAGACATATATTTGTTTCGTTAACTCAAATACACCAGAAAATACATTGTTTAGTGTATTTTGTAGTTCTTTAGTTAAAGCGTGGTGGTCGTCGCGCAGCGCGTGTTCGAATTTCATATAAATAAACAATGTATTTTACACGCGTTGTATACGTCGCTATGAGTCCCATATCGAACAGGACGCGACACGACGACCACCGCCCTTTAACTTTTGTTTAACCATTTTTGGCATAGTTATTCTTTTACCCATTTTGATAAACAACATCAACAGATAACTATTATATCAATTCCATATTTGTTTCTGGTTGGGCATTAATAGTTTGCCATGACAGTGCACGTGATCGTACTCTTTCAGTTTGCGGAATATTCTATCTTTGATACTTTCGGATATTGAACTTCGCTAGGCTATGTGTCCTCTTGTCCTATTCTGTACATATAATACGCCATCTATGGTGGGAATCACATTCCTTTCGTTCACTACACGTATATTTACATGACTATGGAGCATATTTCTAAAAATACATAATAAGTGTATGCATGGTCACACCCAGACCACCTGTTTGAATTGCAAATCGAATTGCGCAATTGTAAAAAAAATATCAAAATTTTGTATTTGGGCTCTAAAGTTGCCAAATTGTTAATATTAAAAATATCAATAATAAAAACTCGTCTGTAATGGGTAAACATGTTATCTTTAAATGTTCGTGAACACCATGGTGATTGGCACTGGTGCCGTGATGCTGTCGGGTCAATATCAATTTCATGATGATTGTGACAATAATAACACTCCATCAACTTCTTCAGTTATTTCGATATTTCAGAATATAATATTTCATTCGCACAACGGGTGGCAGGTTCTAACTGGTGTGTCCTGGTGAAAAATAACCATCTATGCGAAAGCCACGAATATTGTTTTTTTGATCCTGTGAGAATATTGGTGTACGAAAAGTGTGCGTGTTGTTGGCACAAGATACATTAGCATAAGAAAGACAGGACAGAGGAAACAGAGAGTGTTTTGATATGCAAATATGCTACTGTACTGTACGGGCGATTAAACAATAAGTCGAAAGGCTTTGTGGATATCCCACTACGCGACCAATGATTGGCTGAGTGACGTTTTTCTATGTCTAAAAATACTCTGTCCGAGATACAACTAGCGAGAGTAGCATCATCATCGTCATCACCATAACCCCGGCCACGAGGACCCCGTACTCCAGAGGATAAATACGGAATTGCGACGTACGCCATTGTTACCATCAAGTATGCTCTTACCGCTACCTGTAACTACTGAAAGCGAGAGTACTGTGTGTGGCATATTTAAATCCCGATAAAATAACGCGCATCGATCGAAACGAACAAGGAGTGAAATACATCGTACATTATTTACAATGTTCAGGACTTATACAATGACTTTCATAGGATTTATAATTGTGGCGTTGTTTTCTGTGAATATATTCGTCGACGGAGCCGGCGGTAAGTTTGCAATTAAATACTCAATGTAGCTATATAGTATTACGTTACAGAGGCACAACATGGCGTCTCACTGTGACTGTATCTATGTACAACATCGTCGTATACCGTACGGAATACGTAAATTCACACTAAAATGTACTAATAAACGCACACATTTTTGATTCACTACCGATCTTAGTGATGGAGAATCAGTATCGTTACAGTGCGTTGCAGCGATTGTGACATCAATACTCGTAGGGAAGCGGTCACAGCTGATAGATGTAATCCACTTGTTTAGCATAGCGTATTTTGTTTGTAAAATAAAACTGAAACATATATTCGTATATCTTGGAAATGAAATATAATTTCACATACACAATAATTCTAGGTAAGTTATGCTTTCATCTACGACGTTCGGTACACATTAAACAAGGTTACCTTGACACAGTAGCGGTCACCTTTATTATTTTAACCATTAAACTATCTAAACAATAACGATGATCAGACCAAATTGGATGATCGCCACTATAAATTATTTCTCATAATATCTTTCTACATCCAACAATATATAATATAGAGAACGTAAATACACCTGTTACGTTAAAGAATAAATGCAAAACGCCACGACTGAAAGTGCTTTGTATTGTATTGTACTGTATTGTATTGTATTTTATTGTATAAAAAGTAAACATATCGTTTTGTAGCATTATAATTTCGGGGGTGAGTCCATGGTGGAAGTAAAATAATTATCTATTTTGCTAATATAAATATATATTTTCTCTATGTGTATGATATCGGTGTCATTCCTTGTCATAATTGAGGGTGGAGTTCAGTTCGTAGTATCACATTACGGATCAAATTATCCCAGTGCTGTCACCTGGAACGCTGTAGGAAACCACCACATATCACGCCCATAGTTCGTAACACGCGCGCAAATTGGCAATTTACCTTCGAAAGTGCATAATAACACGTGAAAATTGAATTTCGTCGATCTCAACGAGTCAAAATAACGAGGCACACTCGTTTTTCAGACCTATTACGCCAACCTGTTATAACAATAGATCGTGTGACCTCTGACCTATAAACGCTACCGATACTCTCCTAGTTGTACTGGCAAGGTATAAACATACAAAATAACAATACATAAATTAAGACAGGGCTTCATATTACAATACCTTTTGTGAATCTCTTAACTTTTACCAAAAAAAGGTGTTTTCGCTATGAGAATCCTTGGGTCGGCTCGGACGTTACATAACAAGTTAAACTGCATAGTTGGTACCCATCAACACGAACATCTTAATTCTCTAAATATGGCAGTATAAAACATTCTATCTTAGTTATTAAATGTCAAAGCCATCCCATTTTTTTGTATTTATTAAACTGAAACCAAGCTATAATTATATTACTATAGTATTCATTCAATCTAATTGCTAATTATTCTCACCACGGTGTGGATAAAATGTAGGAATATGTAATATACATATCAGTTCAGACAACATGTAGATACACGATTTAATATACAATCTAAAACATTCAAACCAAATAGTGAATACAATAATAACGGTAATTACCTTCAGTAAACAAAGAATAAATTAAGATAAATATATGTGTACGCGTATTACACATATTATTAGTTTTATATATTTTCGTTTATGTCCTGTTCTTGCTCCGATTGTTGTAATGGATTGTCAAAACACTGCACAGTTATTTATGATAATTGACGAATACTACAAATACCAATATTAATAATGCCGGACACGTACACCACGGTAACGCATATACGTCGACGGCTGTTATACTCAACTACCAAATTAACAGGATTGTGCTGCAATGATCAAAACACTGATTTCACGTAACACGAATGTGAACTGAATTACGAAGAAGAGTCTTGGTATAAGTGTTCTTGTAATATCCTATATTTGTAACGTAATTATTAAATTAATATATGTTGTGACATGGGACGACGAGATTCTTCTGACGTCACAGTCGATATATCATTGAGGACCCTATGAATACTATAAGCAAATACATACTATAAAATATATAATTATCGCATATTGTGAGAGAAAATAAGACAGACATAAGTTTACAGCAATACATTGTGAGAATCAATCAGAATAATATGCGTATGCGGTCCACGGAATAATTTAACTTTACTCATAGATACAATAATGTATACGTGCCCATTTCCTTTTTTTATTAATTCATGTATCCAGTGATCGTAACCATGGCAATGTTACAATGTTACTTCCGTCAACAGATATTTGTTGGGCATTTTACAATGTACATGTGTGCAATACACAGAGAAGCTAAAAATATAACGAGAGAAAATGTTTAAAATGTTCGAAAATAGGAATACGTGTAGATTTGGCATAAAAACAAATCTTAAAATTTATTTATAAAATCCCATACTTTCTATGATTTTTTTTCATATACACATGTTTGTTTGGGAGGCGATTTAATAATTTGTTATATTTCAATTTCATTTCTTTACTGTTTTTACCCGCGGATAGTAGCATTTATTTGAATAAAACACAATAATAATCAATAAAGTATCGAATCGATAAAACATATTATAACACAAAAAAAGACATATTTGATTTATACAATTCATAATATTGTAATCCAACTGAAAACACGCTCAGTTTTATTAAATTCACACGCACTATTTCTAAATTCATAAGCACTATTTCCCCCAAACATATTCTCCTTAGAAATGTCCCTAATGATATGATTTCTCCGCGTTCTCCGTCAGAAGTGGAAGGCATCGTCGTTCGAAATCGGCACCTCATAACTCGCTAGAAAAAAGGGAATATTAAGTGGAGTCCGCTCCATCTGTGAAACTGGATGACCGTGCATGTTTTCAATTGTGTAACAAAAAAGTATGACACACACTGACACGTCTATTTACTAAGGATTAGTGAGCCAACATTGTATCTACATACTGACAGTAATAACAATTGTCCTCAAACTCCCATAAACCTTATAGTAATATGTATATGAATTGAAAGCCATATTTGTAGTGATAGTGAAAAATAATGGTTGGATAATAAAAAAAAAACGAATTTAAATATTAATGTTTTACGTACGTTTTACTACTTTCATTTTTTTTCATACTGTTCAAATTTCGTGTTAATAAACAATGTATTTTACACGTGTTGTATGTCGTATGAAAACCAAATCGAACACAAAGTGGTACAACGACTTTGCCCCTTAATATAAGAGACCGGAATCTCAATTCAAAGAGTTTGCCGCACTGTGATGCACATGTTGGCCATTCCACTGACGTGATCACGCATTATCCGTTAAATAAAAATAAACCCTTGAAATGAAAAGATTGCTGCGCACTCAGATAAGAACAGTGAAAGGTCATCTCACCACGGATCTTATTAGTGGTGAATTGTGTTTCCTTGCAGATTCATCAACGTTATCTTTGTATGTTATAATATAACAAAAATAAATACAGTATGAATAAATTATTATGTGATAAATAAATCTCGATCGCGTTTAAAAAATGATATAAAGATTCATATCTCTAAAGATTAGAAACCTATTACCATGTGATGTTTTAAATGTTCATTCATCGTATAATCTGCTGAGCAAATCGTGTACGATCTTGCACCTGAAAAAATCTGTTTCCATGTATGTGATATGAATTCATTTTCACTTGATGTAAACTAACATACATTCTGCAGAAACAATTCTGTATCGTCGCCACGGCAACCAAACACTTCACGTTCTTCGGAATTCTCGTATATTCGGGCTTTTTATATACAAGGAAATATAGTTCCAGTATTATACCGTTAAGATCATTGAATTTGAAAATCCATATTTTTCTATTCGAGTCTACCATATTTTCTATACAGTTTTTTCATCAATACATCGCCATTTTTGGCAATGACTGAACAATCATGATTATTTACTGAACTACAGTCGAGAATGACATCATATAGACTCAATAATCTATCATACGCCCGTGATGCAATCAGCGATTGAAAAACACTCCTCGCACGCAACGGTCGACGCAATGAAGGACAAGTGTGTTCAACCAAACTGACGTACTTATGAATCAGAATCTCAGACCACATTGACAACGGTGACGGTACTTTGTGAAGAGTCCTTAATGTAAGCAGCGTATATTATACAGTACATCGCCATTAATTGTATCTGTAGCAGCCACTTAGCATTATGGCGGAACACGTACGTAATTAGCACGGTACTGTGTATAGAGAGTCATTAAGTGAAGAAAACAACATGACAGTTACTGTTCTTAAGTCTGCATATACTCTAAATTTAAATTGTATTGTATCGTATCTGTCAGTGTCCTAGGTCCTGGAAAAGAATACGACATCAATACTATGATATGTCGGAGAGATTCTTACATTGTAATGATTAAAGAATTAGTTCAACGCATGTCAGTCCCACCTGTGACATGACCCCGCCACCTCCGATTAATTATGCATGCAGATATGCTATATAAATTTCAAGAGTTTGTAAACTTGTAATTTTTAGTTGCATATTCGGTATTACAGACACACGTCTTGGAATAGTACACTGTCTGTATTTATGGCAGTAATATAATGCCAAATTAAGGACATATTTGTAAAAAGTTTGTTATGAACAGTATTCCAGTGATTTCCAAACATACATTAGTGCATACAATAGTGCACAGACAACTAATAGTTGTCTGAGATTAGTGTAATGTGGGTAATAGTAGAGGCGCCAAGCCTGTTAACATTTACTGTAAAATACTTTATCTTAGCTGGAATTAATTTTTGGTGAAAAGACTTTTTGAGCGTTTTGTATGGAATTGATTTACCCTGATTTTGGATGACTTGAATGTAAAATACAGGAAAAAGGGTATATTCACTGGATTTTATTTTCATTGAATCATCCCTTCAGCGAATATAGCGAAAATAAATTCCGAGCGAAAATAAAGTATTTTACAGTATATGACTTAAATACGGCGTGCACTTGAACATCAATAATAGCTGTGACCTTTGATTAAAATGGTTTCTCCCTTAATGGTCAATGCACAGACGTGTAAACTCATGTCAATTGTTTGAGGTCACTTATTAATACAAACCACCTGTTGCTGCGCATTCTTGTTCAAGACAATACTATTTTTATCACACAACACAGTACATAGCAAGTGTTTTATAACTATATAAATGTGTAATATTCATAGTAACGAGCGATGTACTGAAAAATTCTCCATATGCGACAACGATTGTTACAGAATATGTTTACCGAAATCAGCTTAACCAAATCCTGGCTGTAAAACAGATTGATACTGTTAGTTTTGTAATTCGATCTCCTGTCAAGGTCGATACATTATGTGGAATGCATGTACTTGAACCAGCTTAGTAGTAGTAATACAATTGAAACAAACATTTTTAATTAAGTTTTGTTACACGAGTATAACAAAGTCCATTTCATAATGTCAATTCATAACCTATTTGATAATGTTTAATAGCAATATTGTTTGAATGTTATTGTTTGAATGTACTAGATTTTGCATTAACAAGATTTGTGAAATAATTTTTGAAACAACTTTCTTAATTACTAGTATTTTTTTTCTTTTTGAGAGGTCAAACTTTTCAGACTACCAGCATATGTATGTAAACGTGTTGTGGAGTATAACGTCATGTACCGTGAGTAATGGTACTAGGTAATCACTTATCAACTCACCATACCAACTATGTATTTTCTCGTGTAATACAGTACTACGTAAATATAGAAATACATGCTGTATATGCTGTCCTTCTGAATTTATGAATATTAATTAAGCATATTATTGAATTACATAAGTAGTTCCCACCCACACCATCACTCTGAAAGACTCATTGCACTAGTTTTTAAAGTCACCGAATTTGAATCTCCCAACATTTTTGTATTTTGGTGTATAGTCGTCAGATGAGGCAATACCGATCATGTTATTGAGTGTTGTCTATAGAAGATGGTACTCCATTGTTTCTAAACTGTATATACGAACATTAAAGTTGCAATAAATGTTAACATATAACTGACAGCTTCTGACATGGTCGATGTTTGAATGCACGTATTAACCTTTCAGTTGTGGGGTGTAATGACTTAAAGCTATAATGCCCCCAGCGACCTCGGTAAAATTATTTTATACATGTTGGCAATATTTTACAGAATTACCTTTTACCAATGTTAGAACATTTGAGCTTCCATGGATCGTGTATTCTGAGTATTTGAGTAAAAACAGCATGCAATCATTTATTATTCTTCGACATGACATGTGACACATATGTGAGCGACAAACTCATTAATCATAATACGCAATGTTCATCCACGTAATGGTAAACATCAAAGAATCAATAAGTGTTTTGTCTGCATTCCAGTTTCAATTTGCTGACGAGGTGAACGAATCGACACTCCTTAACATAACCCACGTTGCTCACTTAGTGTAAGCCGATATCGTGCCAATTTAACAATTTTATTATTACATTAATTCATTATTTCTGTTTTATTTAATACAACGTGGCCAATTGTGGCTCACGCCATCACTACTGTAAATGTGATAACGCATGTTATTAGTCAGAAGAAAACCACTTTCATTCATGTATTAGATGCTATTATCCACAATAAGAGAAAATCATTAATATGTAGCGAGTATGAATTGTGTTCAAATATACGAGTTTGTGTGTTACCATGGAAACAGTTATATTCATTAATTTTCGTTTAGTCTAATCGCGTCGTTTTAGGCGAATTCTTAATGTACTTTTGATACATATTTTTTATTTTATTCTGTTTCAATAAATCATTGACATCTCAACACTTGAATTCTTACATTGTATTGCATATTTGCTGACAATATTTGTGTATATCGACACTTGAATGAAATTATTCACAATATAATTCATATTTACAATTTACACTCATATTATGCTTCTACCATTTTTTTTAATTATTATACAGTAGTATTGACTCGTGAACAAACATCGCACCGAGGTCTAACTGTACCCCGAATCTCAACACACTACTCATTCTGTGTTATTTTCATAACATTTGTACATATATCAGTTGTAATACTCAAATAGTAATGATAATACATATACAAAAGTAAATTGATTTGAGTGACCTCACCCTTAACTAATTACGACCACGCCCGCATATTATATTATTATATTTCATTATTAGGCGCCATGATGACGATTTGTGTTGAAATGACCTTTCTAAGTGCGCATGACTATACAAATCACTCATATTGCCAAGGGGATTAGCCCGACCTAAAGTATCACGTTTTTATTAAAAAATAGTTTGCGTATGGGTATTTATTGTGTTGTATTTTGAGCGGAAGTGACGTATGCCCGAATGACGACACAGTGGAAAGCGTGTTACCAAGTGAACGTTCCGCGTGCAGTTGAAGTCGAAATAATCATATATCCAATTAAGAACAATGTTGACAGAATAACCCTAATTTATTTAAACCGATTATTAGATTGATAAAATCAAACATGATAATAATAAATGTAGAATCATCGAATGTATACATTGTTATATTGTAAAATAACATTACAAATATGGCAAATATATTACATATTGTTCGCTGTTTGCAAATTATCAATGTGATCGCGAAATATTTATTATAAGTAATTTTACACGCAATGTGAGAATTGGTTTATGTTTATGTTTATGGTTATAGTTATCTGTGTTGACAGCAACCGTGACGTTGGGGTGGATACACATAATTAGATTTACAGAACTGAACAAAGAACAAATCGTTTCAATACGACCACTAATTATTGCTGATAAATACGAAATCAGGGTTACAGACATTCTGATTGAAATTTGATGTAGATATAAAACTCAAGCTTTTAAGGAAGTCGACATATGTTATATGAAAGACCGCAAAACGGCAAGTAAGATCACAAAAATAGACATAGACAAAAATAAATGATAAAATATTAAATTTAAAAGAATGGAGCCTATAACTACGTCGGAATTTAATCAGATTGAAATCCATGCTACAGAGTTTTACTATAGCTTACAACTTGTGTAATCCGAACATCAACATCGATATAACTAAGTGTCTCACCCATTGCGTGCATTGCGCACATAGTATAGAGCTATTAGTTAACCAGCGCGCGTTGTATATCAAATGACACGTACAAAACACATACAAAGAGGAACAAATGAAGCTATTAGGTTTTCGAGGTATGGAAGATTTTTGGATTTATAGTATTATCTTAGAACTGATTTGAAATCTGAATCTTCTAACATTATCATCTTACATATAATAGATACTAATGAAATATGGTCGTGTGATTTTGTTGGCAAGGTGTCGTCACACACAAAGTTATTGACCTGAAACATATATCGACTTCTTCGATAGACCACAATAAACACATATCAAATACATATCAATTGCCGTGAGAGTGTAGCATAAACGCGTCTCACGACCGTATAATACTAAATCTTATTTTGTATTGTTTCCAGAATGTAACAGCTATCCGTGCCGAAACAATGCAGCGTGTGTCGAGACTGGTGGGAAGTATCTATGTCAGTGTCAGTACGGATACCATGATATAAACTGCCAATTACAAATCACAGGTAAGTGCCGTAGAGAAACAGGTTTTTATTTTTTCGTGACATCTCCCCTTTTGGGACTTAAACATTTGATCCCAAAATATCAGATCATTGTATTCAATTGCAGTGAAACCAAGTCGATGATACAGTTTTATGCTTGCATCAGGGAGGCTCTGTGTTCGATTCCCGGAGGCGACAGTTTATTTAGCAATGTAAATCCGAGCGCAGTTTGAATTGTCTTTCAAACTTGCGGTATTCAGTTTGGGAAACTGGTGCACATATACACATGCAATTACCTGAATGACATACAAGTCAGGAGAGACAACACTGACTTCAATGTTAATTTACTGTAAATTCATGTTTGGTTGTTTAAAGTAGCATACTAACTAGTAAAGGTGAAGGCAATATAAAATCAAACATACTCTTGATATTTTGTTGAGCAAAAAGGTTCCATCAAGTAAATGAAAATAAATAAATAAATAAAAGGTGTATCTCAACTTGTTGCCATGAAAACTCTGGTGGCCATTTAGAAAAGAAAATAAGTCAAAATACATACAAGAATGAGTAATAATTGTTACGTCGGGTAACCACAGTTTTTTATTCTTTTAAATATTTTGTAACGTGACATCCTTAAAAAGAAATTCAACTGTTTTTGTTACAGGGCAAACATGTGGCACGACTCACTATACGCCAACGGGCACTATAGCATCACCCACCGATAGCCAAGGACTGTACTCCCCTCTATCGTACTGTGCATACATTATTCGCGTAGCAGGGGCACAAAGGATACAATTCACGTTTACGTCATTCGATACTGAAGAAGGCAAAGACCATTTTGAATATGGTTCCGGACCAATAGCTGACTACAATCAAGCTATTGGTCAATACTCGGGTTCAGTTATACCACCAACGTTCGTAGTTGCAGGTGACCACGCATGGATCATGTTTGATACAGATTTGAACGGCGAACGAACAGGATGGACGATAGAGTACCAAGCTGGTAAGCATACATCTATCCACACTCGTCAACGCACCAACACATGGATATTTAAACTAACTACCAGATTACATCTTCTAAAAAATTACATTCAATGTTATCGGGCGAAGAGAAAACAGTAAAAACAGTCGGCACACATAACCTGCCTACAGTTTCAAATGAAATAACTTGGAAACTTTACATTTTGAAAATGTTTAAAAGTACATAAATAATGTGTAAATTGTTTTAAAATTAAATAAATGAGACAATATTTTCCAATTAGGAAATAACTGACTAAAATGTATGTGAGGTAGCCTGCAACGAGATGATAATGGCGGAGACTGACTGTTCACTACATACCGTTCACATTCCAGCAACCATTGTATACGTTCGTTTAATTTCGTTTGTTTCATTTAATGACAGATCTAGACGACTGTTTGAGCAACCCGTGTCAAAATGGTGGATTATGCAATGATGGCGACTACACTTATACATGCACCTGTGCTTCCGGATGGTTCGGAACAAACTGTGAAACAAGTGAGTTTTAATTTGCTAAGTATTCATAAAACTGTGTGCAAATTTAACGAAATCTTTATTAAGCACTTGGTATATTATTTTTCGGTCTTTCTTCTGGGTCATCGTTCCTAGTTCACTTAAAACAAATATATCATATAGGTATTTACATTTTTGTGTATACTTTATGTACTATATAGAAATACATACAGGTCACTTACTTGAGTTTACATTTACGTGCTTCTGGTGAATAATCAACATCTCGTTGGTTTTAATCAATATGTTAGTTGATATTGTCATTGCATTAATCTGCATTTACTTTCGCATTGGTATACATGGCATTGAGTTCACTTGTGTTTTTCACTTTTTTGTGCAATTTAATTAACACCATTATTGTATAATATTAATGTTAATTTATTTTTCCAGATATCGACGAATGTTCGAGTAATCCCTGTGCGAATGGTGGTACATGTGTGGATAATGTGAATTCACATACATGCTTATGCACTGCAGGTTGGCGAGGTGCCACTTGTCATCTTGGTAAGCATATCCAGCTAGGAGAAAAAATGAACGGAAACATCAATTTTATTATTTTAGTTTAATACTGCATGTTATTTACAGAATCGCACATGGATTGATATCGGAAACTAAAAAATGTAACTTTTACTGCACGCGCAATGAAAAAAAAAACTAATACGCATGCGTAGTGACTGTTACCGTATCATATGTTTAATAGAACAAATTGTGACTTAGCTATGTGTTGCAAGAATAGCGCTTTTCATAATGAAATGAATTCACAAACATACAGAATCAAAGAACAATATCATGAAAATATGTTATTGTCCATATTGAATCTTATAGCTCTATCACACAACACCGCGATAGTGCCAAGTTGTAATCTGAGTATGGTGGGTGTGGCTGTCTTTTCGTTGAGATCAAACGCCTACAACATAAAATATACATGTGTTTCCAATATAATAACGTATATTAAAGCGCGGTGGTCGTCGCGCAGCGTGTGTTCGAATTTCATGTAAATAAACAATGTTTTTTACACGCGTTGTATACGTCGCTATGAATAGAATAGAATAGTGCTTTATTGATACTGTAAAGAAAATATTACATTTCTTTTTTGGTTATGTACATCAATGAAGTTGAAAAATTGAAATGACAAATTGTAATGTAAAAATTGAAATGTAGATAGAAAATATAGTAATGTATTAAGTAAAAAATATATAATAAAAAAAGCAACATTATATTATTTTGATTGTGAAATAAGTCCTTTCACACATACTTTGATAATAAGTTTTGACATTGTTAGTCAGTGTTTTTTTTTTTTTTTTTACATTGAAACACATATTTAGTTAGAGCATATATAATTGTCTTATCTCTTGAGTCTCATATCGAACAGGACGCGGCACGACGACTGCCGCCCTTTAATTCCTGTATATATTTTGGTGTCACAATTGTATGACACTACGTGGTAATAGGGAAAGACCATGCCTACAATATATATACAGCATACCTCTAGAGTTTGAAACATTTTCGTCGCAACCGGAGCTTTTAAATGACACGCCCATTTGAATTTGGTACTTATTTTCTGCTGGTATATCACTTCATTAACTCATACGGCTTGGACGTGTACCATCCTCGCTAACCATGGTCTGTTTAATCGGCCAACATTCGACTTTAAGAACCAGGCGATTCGTCCGATGGTGGTATATATGTGTATATACTAGTATATAAATAAACATTGATACGCCAATTACAATATTTGTCTTTGTTTGCAGACATAGACGAATGCGACAGTTCGCCGTGTCAGAACGGAGGCGTCTGTAACAACCTACAAAATGCATTTTCGTGTACTTGTTTTCCTGGATTTGACGGTACAAGGTGTGAAAACAGTAAGTGTTCGTGCATATTATGGTTCATGGCAACGTCCACGTCATAAAGAGTACATGCATAAGAGTACT